CCGGATGTTAGCCTCTTTACGTAAGTCTGCCTTTCAGTGGATCTCGTGAATAATGTCCTGGGTGCTGCTCTGGGGGTGATGGAACTAACCCTCTCCGCTGACTCCTCCTCGGGGCTCTCCTCCTCCGCTCTAAGCAAGCTCCCCATTGACTGGCCAACGTTTCCCAAGATCTCCCTGTTTTAATTCCCAAGGCTGTGGCCATAGCACCTGATAGAGTTAAAGGCTAGCATTTGCCCGTGTGGCACCCACATGCTTATTGGATATTCCCATGGTCAGAGGAGCACTGGCAAATGAAGGTGCATGGCTTATGACCCAATGCTGAGGCGCACAGTTCTGTGCTCAGGGCGAGAAGAACCGCTGCGCTGGTCTGGTCTTCTCTAATAAGCAGGTCACACAGAGCCATCCTTGAAGCGCAGCACAGTATTCGGCTGGAACTCTGTGCCTTGATGCTTCCCGAAATGCCAACATTTGGGCAGTGACTCGGAAAAGGGGAAGAAGAGAGTTCTATTGGCTGGTTTTAAAAGGACTTGGGAATCACACACACAACTTCAAGTCAATCTGTGAACCCCACCGACTTAAGAAGTAATACCACCCTTTCTTCTTTACACGTTCCATGATGTTCATTCATTCAGTCAGTAGTTATTGCCTTTGTCAGACCCTAGGCAAGGTACCAGGATAGAGAAATAAGACACAGTCCATGGCCTCAAGGAACTTATAACCCAGCAGAGACAAACAGACACATAATAAGCAAATAAGTATCCAGTAGTAGTGTGGTACAGAGTTAAATATCAGCTGTGGAGATCAAGAGACTTAAGTCCAAGTTGCAACTCTGCCACTTACTACTTGTGGAGTCTTGGTTGAGTCATGTAACTTCTCAGCCTCAGTGGCTTCATCTAGTTGGGAGGGAGGATTAAATAACCCACATATTATATATATATATATACACACACACACACACACACACACACACACATATACACACACACACTTCTATATGTAGAACATGGTCTTTATATATAGTAACTCTTATTATTATGCCCTGTTCCAGGGACTGTACAGAAGTATATGTGAGGTCCCAGAGGAACACAGAGGAGGGTGATAAGAGAATCAGAGACACCTGATTTGGAGGAAAGAGTGACCTCTGACCTGACCTCTGACTATAATGCTTGGTGAAAGTTGCTGGGAAGAACACCTACCCAATATGTTGGAATTTCTTTTCTCCTGAAATTAACCTTAAATACTCTGACATAATGAGATGGAGACTGTACACACACCCAGCACTGAGACCACCTAGCTTTACAAATAGCCCTCAGGGCTCGTAGGACCTGGACTCTCGACGTGCCCTAAAACTTCAGCATTTCTAGTTTCCCTGTCCCCTCCTCCTATTCTTTCTGGCCCAGACCATGGACTTGAACAGCCTTTGGCCTGGTCTGCACACTGTCACCAGTGATCTTTCTAAAATATGAACTTGATACCGCCCTTCTGCATATAAAATCCTCCTGGGATTTCCCATCTTTCAGGATAAAATCTACACGTCAGCATAGCCCGCTTGGTTCTGGCTTTTTTTGACATAGACGCTGCCTCCCTCACCAGACATACCTCTCAGCTTTCCAGTACATGTTACCCTTAAAACTGTCAACATGTGTTCCTTTGCTTGAAACATTCTGCCTTCCATTCTCCCTCCTGATACTGAAAAACTCTTGAAGACTCAGCTCAGGTGTCTTCCTTCTGGCTTCCTTTCCTGACCCACCCTCTCTGGGTTAGCTGCCCCTCTTCTGAGTCCTCACTACACAGGCACGGATTCTGTCATGACTCCTGTCTCCCTATTAGCCTCTCCTCACTGTGGGCTCCTTGGACTCATACATGATTTGTCTCCCCACCTGGCTCAGTCCTGGCTCATGCAACGTTTGTGAAGGGATCATAGAACCTTAGGGAACATCTCTGCTATCCTCCTACTTGAAGGTCCATGAATGCCCTCTGCAGACGTTTAACTGAGTGCCCAGTGAAAGGGTTACTTCAAATGACAGCCCCTTCTGTATGTAGGGAGAGAATGAAAGACCATCTGGGGCAGACAGAAAAATGAGTACTGGCCCTGGCCGGTGTGGATCAGTTGGTTGGGCACCATCCTGTGCACCAACAGCTGCTGTTCAATTTCTGGTCAGGGCGCGTGCCTGGGTTTCAGGCTCAATCCCAGTCAGGGAGACATGAGGAGGCAGCCCGTCAATGTCCCACTCTCACATTGATGTTTCTCCTTCTCCCTCTACGAATCAATTAAAAATCTTAAAGAAAAAGTACTGTTGCTGCGAGAAGGGCCACTGGTTCTTCTTGATGACCCAGTATAGCATGGGAAGGTCCAGTGTCCTGGCAAAGGGGTCTCAGTAGAGCTGACCTGTTTCCGAGTCGTCCTCGGAGAGAGGGCAGGGGAGCCGGGAGGAGGCGCGTGTTGGAGCAGCACCACGTGACCCTGAGCTGGACTGTGCTCTAGGAAGCACTCTGACTGGGCACGAAGCAGGCGTTAACTTCATAACCCAATTCTGGAGCCCAGGTCAGCTGCCTGGGGCCTGAGTCTGGGTCCCGCTAGGTAAGCGTCCAGGTATTAGGCAAGACAGAGCTTCACTGGCAAGTCTGTGTGGTAGCAAGAAATGCCCGCGGTGGCTGCCCATGCCCCCGATCCCACCCCCATCCCCACTTCAGACTAATGAAGTCCCCTGGGGGTCTTAGGTAATTATTTGGAGGGGCCCTAAGTCGGGAGATTCTGGACCACCTGCCAGGTGCGTGCTTGAATGAAGACTGAAAATGTAAGCGAATGGAGTGTTCATGCTGCCTGCACAGTGAGGAGGAGCCCAGCAGCCTGCAGGAGCCTCTAGCAGCCCGATGCTCCAAGGGGTAGTCTTTCTCCCCGAAATGGATGTTCACTGACTCCCGGCACCGTCACTAGGAAAGGTCCAGGTGAGGTTCGCTAAACAGGATGCAGTTCTTAGGTGTCGGAAGAGGAGCAGTATCTACTGTGTTTCGCTTTGCTTTAACTTTGTAGTGATGAGATCACTAGAGTTCAGAAATGGGGGCTTTCCCAGATGGGGAAGTAACTGGGCTCTGACCTGAGGCTGCTACAACATCCTGCCCAGCCCGACCCCACTCAGCGTCCAAGGCCTCCATCGCCTTTATTTCCCATCCTTCTGGACTTCGCAATGTGCCTCTGAGACGTGGGTGTGGCCTGTCCGAGCCCTCATGCGCCTGTGCCAGGGAAGGACGTCTTAACGGTCACCCTGTGATTCTGTGGCAGATGCAGAGAATTTCAAACAGAAGGAATTTAATATAAACAAATTGGTTAGCCCGGCTGGTGTGGCTCAGTGGTTGAGCGTCAACGCATGCATCAAGAGGTTCTGGTTCGATTCCCGATCAGGGCACATGCCCAGTTGTGGGCCTGATCCCCAGTGGGGGGCATGCAGGAGGCGGCCAGTCAATGTTCTCTCTCATTGATGTTTCTCTCTCTCTCCCTCTCTTCCTTCCTTTCTCTCTAAAATCAATAAAGAAAAAAAGATGGTTGTACAAATGACGAAAGAGCCAGGTTAGAGGGGTTAGTACAATAATGCAGAGGCAAACAATATGGCAGCGGCTGTGGCTTCCTTCGGCTGCAGGGACCAGGGCCAGAGGCAACGTGACTGACACCTGGGAGCCAGGCTCACCTGACAGAGACGGGAGCCTCAGAGATGCGGCTACTGGGAGAGAAACGGAATGACCTCCCTTTCTCCCATTCTCTCACCTTCTGCTCTGCCCTCGGTGACCTCACATTAAGCCCAGCCAGGAGTCTGACACGGGAGCCTGGGAAACCCAACCTGCCTTCCAGAGGACAGCAGGGAGGTCAAGGGCGCATCTGCAGGCGACAGGACGAACACAAGCACAGAGACCTCACTTCTCCCGCTCCGCCTCCACTCGCTCCCTCGTGATCGCAAAACATCTTTCTTTAGCCATTTTCCCTTCCATCTAATCTTAGAGAAAGAGATGTCTTTGGTTTTCCCGAGAGGTGGAGCTGGAACGAAATGGAACTGGAGCACCAACAAAGAGCAGAATGCGTTGGGTAGACGCACCCAGCTCTCCGCTGCCCAGAGCGTGAAGGAACCACCTTTGGGAAACAGGCTGGGGGGGGGGGGGGGCGCCTGGGACAGCCGGCTTGGAAAACGCCTCCTGCTGGGAAAGAGGTGCCAATGCCTGTCTTGATTTTTATAAGCGATAATAACAGAATCACATGTTAACTGAATACGGTGAAGCTGTATCTACTGGACAAGCCCCTGACATAACAGTGCATTTATTAACATTAAAAGCCAGCGTGGTCTTTCTCCCCGAGTGCTCACTCGCTGCTCTCTCCCTTTTATCGACAAGGAAATGGAGGCCGGTGCTGTCAAAGCCTGAAATTTGTGTCTGCTTCAGAGTGAGGAGGGGCAAAGGGCACGGAAATAATCTTACCAGTGAACTGACCCCTGCTAGCCTCCCACTGAGTTGCTTCTCGGACTTGGGAGAACTTGGCCAGAAGGACATTGCACACCTCTCCAGATCAGGGCTCCAGCACCAGCCACCGAAGCTTGAAGAGCAGAGTGGAGCTGACCGACCTACTCGGTGCTCACAGAGACACTTGGAGACTGAGACTGTATGATCTGCTGCCTGAGGGTCTTAATGGTGTCAGGTTGGGTCCCTGACACCTCCCCAGAGCCCAACCTTGTGCCTGGCACATGACAGAAACCCACTGTTTACTTAATAAACCAAATAACTGGAAGTCAGAAGACCTTAGTCATTATGCACTGTCTGGGCTGCTGTCAGCTCTCCGTGGAAGCTCTCCAAGTCAGTCCCACCATCTGTAAAATGGGGACAGGGCAGCCCCATTTACTTCACAGCATAATGTAAAGAATGGATACGCTCGTGTTCGTGAGTTTGTTCTAGTAAGCAAAGACACTGTGTTTATAATGCCCTGAAGAAAAAACTTCCTCCGCCAATGTTTGCACACAACACACGTTTATTGAGAGACAGCCAAGTGCGATGTGTCAGCCCCTCCTCTTGGGCACAGTCTCCTTTATTGGCGTGTAACAACACCCAAGGGCTGGTGAGCGACACCATCGACACCAAACGCCAGCTGTTTACGGGCTTGGCCCGAACAGTGCCGCCTGAGCACCCTTCCAAGCGGCAAGCAATCCGAGGGCGCGTCCTTGGCGGTCTTACTGACACACAAATTTTAATGTTATGCTCATTTCAGATCCTCCTTTTTAAAAAGCTTCTATTCTAATTTAGCAGAAAGCAGAGCTATCAGTGAAGGGCAACGCAATATCAAAGTAAGGCTGCTTTTTATGTCTCCATTAGACACATTTTGCCATTCGTGGGGGCTCTAATAACACGCGCACATAAGCAATGCCGACTCCTGATGGCCGGTGTGGGTGCCCACCTAGCCCCTTCACTTTACTCCGGGTCCTTATCCTCTTCGGAAAAATGGGGGACCGACTTCTTTGCGACAACGTTGTCCAGTCTCTGTCCTTGTAGATATGGGTTGACACTCTGAAAAAATATATATGGCTTGGTATTATCCTTGAACATCATATACAGACATCTCACAAAATAGGTGAATGAGAATCATTTCTGGCATATGGGTTATATATAAGGTAACAGTGGTACCTACCACCTAACAAATGATCACCCCAGTGAACTAACCAATACCTCAGTGGGAGGAGAAACGCTGTCTGACAGATGTGTCTCATTGTGTCTTGCACACAGCTATACAGTTCGTATCAGATGCAATATGCCCCCCTCCTTTTTTTGGGCACAAAGATTTGGAATGAAGCAGGTAACACTCTCTCACTGTAGGGGGAAGAGAGACTCTGAAATGCATTAAATTATTTTACAAGAAGAAGTTTCTAAAGATGGCAGAGCAGGGCCAAGTTGAACTTAGTATTTGCAGACTAGTCAGAGATCATCCTCTCACGTTGATTCTTCCCTGCCAGAATTGTCCAAAGGGGATCCATCCGGGGCTCTAGCAGCCATTTGGATGGTTCCACTATTTCTGACTCAAGACTCCACAGTCTGAAATCTCTCTTATCTGTTTGTCTTCTGAAAAAGGTTTGACCGTTCCTTCTCTAATACATATCTACTTTTTTGAGGTTTGGATTTGAACTAGTAATTGCCGCTTTACAACACAGCCTTGAGAAAAGCAGAAACATTTCAAAAGTTTTGAAATATTAGTTTTTTGAAGTCACCTTCCAATAACCAAACAAAAATATAAGAAAGAAGCTGTGGTTGTCAATGACCAGCATCCCGCTGCCTATCAAGTCTCCAGGAATGAATGGATGCAGGTCACAGTGGGTCTCTCTTGCCCATGGGACATGGTCAGCCGTGGCTCTTCTGAAGGGTGAGCAGACATTCACCAAAGAGAAGGAATGGAACCTGAGTTTAGTATCTGTAAATGTCCTTCCACATTTCAACGGGTAACGAATCATGGAAGTCCCAACTCACCCTGCAAAAATGCATCACAAACCAACTGAGAATTATAAAATACACAATGTCCTCTTAGATCTGAAAAGTGACATGTCACAAAAGACAGTACTTTGCTGGAAAGGCATCTTTAAAATATTTAAAATAACTGGCATGCTTTCTATAACAGGAAGATTGTCAACTAGAAGGGCCTGGCCTACCCCAGGAAATTATATCAGAATCTCTGAGCAAGTGTGAACTGACAAAGTATATGTAATATCATGAATATTTTGAGTAATATTTATTATGAAAATTCTACTACATTAGGAATAAAAGTTTGGTAAGCTCTTTAAATAAAATAAATAATAAATCTCAAATATTAACAAGATACATCTCAAGAGTTAAAAAAGCCTGGCTGGTGTGACTCAGTGGTTGAGCATCAACCCATGCACCAAGAGGTCATTGGTTCGATTCCCAGTCAGTGCACATGCCCAGGTTGTGGGCCGATCCCCACTGGGGGGCATGCAGGAGGCAGCCAATCGCTGTTCTCTCACATCGATGTTTCTATCTCTCTCTCCCTCTCCCTTCCTCTCTCTCTAAAAATCAACAAAGAAAAATAAATTGTTAAATATCTATAACAAAAACAAATTAATAAATAAAAAATTAAAAAAAATTTTTTTGAAGAGTTAAAAAAATTGCAAAGTCATTTAAAGGTGAATTAACCTTTGACTCATGAAGCAAGTAGAAATTCAATTTAAAACAAGCAAGTATAGATAGTTATATAAAACTGCCCGGAGCTCAGCTGGAACTTTAGGTTGAATCCTCTTGGTGAGGGACTTTTATGGGAGATAGTCCTTCAGATCAGACCCAGAGCATGACGAAGATCGGAAGGAAGAGGAATTAAATTAATGAGGAAGTACAAGGAGCAATCAGTTGAACTTTTTTGATGAATGTTTAACTATTAGTACTGAATCTTAAGAGTAATAATAATAATGACACTTGGTTTTCATTATCCTCTGATGAACTTAAGGCACTTATATATTTATCTTCTCCCTTGGTTGAAACATGGGCCAGGTTACAAGGTGACCATTATTCCCATTGCACAACTGAAGAACCATTGGGATTGAATCCCTACTTTTCATGTCCTCTGGAAACCCACAGCAAATGTGGAGCTTCACTGGACAAAGCCTTAATTTTCCCCCACAAGAAGCCCATAATTTATGTTGATTCACACCTTTGAGGTGGTAAAGTCTTCAGTCAAGATGGGAACACCCTCTGAGGCCTGAAGACAGGGGGGCAAGTTCTCTTCCCCCAACAGTCCTGAGAGGCTCATGGTTTATGGCATGAGCATGGGGCTTTGTAGACGCCTAAGAATAGAAAAAACTTGATACCACTGGGTCAAAGTGACCCTTATTTTCACAAATTCTAAGCCTTTCTATGAGGAGGAAGTGGAGGCCAAAGTAAAACCTTTATAACATGTGTCCTAGCCAGAATTCTGATTTTAGTAATCCTGATCTCATTGCTGAACCTAAATCGTGACCCACAGTAATTACTCAAGTCGGGGCAGAAGGAATGGTGAGTCAGGAAGTAGACACAATTAAAGCGTCAAGCTGTTATTCATTGTGGGCCCATCGTTGGTCTTATTTGGGAATGTTCTTCTTGTACCATGGGGAGATATTCAAGCCATTGTCCTGGTAAATTATGTGTATTCTGAGCTCCTAGAATAGAATTTCTTGATGTTCTCTCAAGCCCACATAACACCCTTCGGACCCTTCCTGCCACTATCTGCCACTGGAAACTGTAATCATCTGAGAAAAACCCCTAATAACCCTGGTAACTCTCCCAAAGATCTGTTTCCAGACATCCAAACTGTGCCTCATGTGGAGAGTTGGCCATGGGATCTCTGTATTTTGTCAGGCAGCACAGGGACTTGAAACGCTCTGTTGTAGGGTCCTGAGAATTAATACTGAGTTAAAAACAAAAAACAAACAAACAAACAAACAAAACCCCTACACCTCCTAAAACACTCTCTGACTGGATTGGGCAGAATTTTCAGCATGGCTACCACATTTCGCCAGAATCCTGGCACTTGCTATTATAAATTATCAGTCGGTGGCTTTAGGTATAGGGTTGGTTTGTATTTGAACAAAAATGGCTACTCTCTGGCAGCACTTTGCTATGCAATAGCAGGATTTTAACTTTTTCTCCTGCCGATCAGAAAACGGTGGCAGGTGGCTGGGCACTTCTGTGGATCAGCAGAATGGACGAGGATTGCTGATGAAGCCCCGATGCCATCAACACAGGAGAAACCCAAAGCAAATGTGACAATCCGCTTTACATGCGGCAACCCTGTAGTGGCTAACTGTGAGGCACCTAGACCGGAGTCCCACCCTGGGCAGCCCTGGGATGGTTAGTGCATTTAGAGGTCAGCAACCCAGTATAACTGATCTAGTTGACTTTTACATCAATCTGCTAGACTAAGAAAAAAGGTACGTAGGAAGAACGAGGTTTGTCCATCTCATCTTTTGTCCCCACATTCCTCGGGCATTATTGCCTGGAGCATGCATTTCATCACTTCCTTGTTCCTGTCTGGTGCATGTATGTAGTTGATGCAGATGTGTGAGCAGTCTCCCCAGGGGCTTACAGACCCTCTGAAGAAAGACACATCCTCATATACCCTCCACATTTCCCATACCCGCGCAGGAGATGCAACACCTGCTTCCTGTGTGCAATGGAAGTATGGAAGTGAGGGAATCGCCACCAAGGTCGGCGTGGCACTGAAAGCCATGCGCGAACGCTGGAGAAGCCAGCCCAGAACCAAGGGCGCACTCTGTGGGCGTGGCCCTCATCAGCTGGGACCAAGGTCCTGCCCTCCCGGGACCGCCCCAGAAAGGGATCGGCTACATTCCCACACTGAAGGTCTCGGTTGTCAACTGCCTGGCTCGGAAAACTCGGGCACCCCAACACCACCCCCGCCAGCCGTGCCTTACCCTCCGCTTTCGTCTCTGTCCTTTCATCTTCTCGTACAGGAGTTTCTTGTTCTAGAGCAGGGCGAGAAAGAAAACAATGTAGAAGCATGGATCAGATGTGGTGGACGTCTATTTTAAAAGCAACACTCAGTGCGTCCCCTGGATATTTGCATACACATGTTTTGGAAGCAAAACTAGATGAAAGGAATACCCCGTCCGAAAGCGGGACCCCAAGGGCAAAGCTGGTGGTCCGGCTGCGGTGAATCCAGTTCTCGGTAATGCCCGGAGGCACCTCGGTGCCATCCCCAGTCACATAAACAGGAAAAAACGACCTTCTGCAACCCAAGCGGCGTTGGCAACCCATGTCCTCACTTTGAACAACCTCTGTTTGAAACACACAATTTTATGTCACTTTGCTTTGTAGCTAAGTCCCTTTTTATGAGCTGTACACATAAACCTTCTCTGGAGTCTTGTCTGACTGTGAATAACAATCCTCTAGGTAAATAAATGAAACGCTGACTTCCGCAACCTTTCCTCCAGTGACTTCAGTCTGTGCACCCAGTCGAGATAATCGGAAAACCATTTGGGCTATAACATTTTTAATAGAGTGAACCTTTTAAAAACTGCCAAGAAAAAAAAAAAAACTTCTTGGCAGAAAGAAAGTTATGTTGGGGGAGAAAAAAAATGGGATCTGTTACTACAGTTTGTATAAGTGTTTCCACATATTGCTGTGTTTCAAACACATAGGGGCTGACATGAGCTCTGGAATACTGGACACATGCTCAACAGATTTCCCTTCTGTTGGGATTACAAACGGCAGGCACGTGACCTGGAGGAGGGGAGTTGGGGGGCTGTGCGTGGCTTTTTTTTTTTTAATTTGACTTTTAATCAGAAGGGAAATAATGTATAAAAAAGGTGATTCATCTTACTCTAAATAAAATACTCCGACATTGTTATTGTGTGTGTGTGTGTTTTTAAGAGTTTTGGTAAGGAACAGTTTATACAGCATGTATCCTCTGAAGTGTATGGAGAGAAAGAATTTTTTTATGGTAGATTTGGAAATGAAAATGACAAATGCCAAGAATGAACTTTGTAATTTTTATGTTCATTAAAACCTACCTCACCCACAATTCACAATGCTGTCGCTTGCCCAACCTCAACTATGCAGGAAGGCTGTGCCCGGGAGGAAGGACCATGCCCTGCCAAAGGCCAGTGCTGGCCATGGCCTCCGTCTCACGCTCACGTGGGGAACTGATCGATTTAATATCAGATGAAGTCTTGCCATTTGTGACAACATGGATGGACCTTGAGCGTATTATGCTAAAGGAAGTAGACAAAGAAAGACGAATACCATATGATTTCACACATATATGGAATATGAAAAAAAAAAAAAAAAGCATAAGCAAACTCATAGAGGCAGACAGCAGATTGGTGGTGACCAGAGGGGAAGGGGAGAGGAGGGAAGGAAAATGGGTAAAGGGGGTCAGAGGGTCAATTGTATGGTAATGGATGGAAACTAAACTTTTGGTGGCGAACATGCTATATTGTGTATACACAATATCACATTATAATGATATACACCTGAAACTTATATAATGTTATAAACCAATGTTACCTCAATTTATATATATATATGTGTGTGTGTGTATATATATATATATTTGTATACACACACACATATACGTATATGGATATAGAGAGAGGAAAGGTGAAGGTGCAGCTCATTCACTCAAGGAACATTCACTCGAGGAATGAGAATATCATGCTAAGGCTCATTCCTGTCGTCTGTAGTTGCCTTTCTGGGATGTAACAATTCGGATGCACAGAGAATGTCCTGGGAGTCGGTGCCAGAGAGGCCGGGGAAAAGGGGGCAAGGATCGGAGCTTCTTCATGTGCACCTGCGTGCTCAGCTGCCCGAGCAGGAGGGAGCGACTGTGCAGGGACCTGAGAGCTGCTGCCATCCTGTGGGACATCCAATCAGCCGCGGCGGAGCTCCATGATGCCACCCGCCGGGTAGAAGGGCATCGTCGTAGTTACTCTCCTTTAGAAGGTCAGGGCCAGATCACGCCCATAGCGCCCTCATTCAAAAGGAAGTGCAAAAGGCTGGCAAGTCTTCCTCTCAAAGATGGTCCCTGTGTTTCCCTGAGGGCTAGGGTTAGGGTTAGCAGGGTGATGCTGGGCCACCTCTGCGTGGAAGTGGCTGGGGCGCTGCGATTAGCCCTGCTTTGTATGCATTTGAAGACAGGGACCGGCAGGTGTAGTGTAGGTAAAAGACATCTGAGTAGAAACCAGCCCCCTTTCCTGACACCCATTCCTTGTTGATGGGGTGGGGAGGGGCGAGTGGGGAGCCTGCTTCCCATGTGAGTAGCAGGTTCGAGTTCATAAAAAGGGCTTTCCACTGTGCCATCAAGATTTTGGACAACTGCCCAGATGTTGGTTTCAAATTCCATTTCTAAATAGAACCAGGGAGGCTCCTTGAATAAATGTCTGTTTCCAGGGCTCGGGCAGGGAAGGCGCAAGGATGAATGAAGCTGGAATATCTAATTGGGCCAGAAAGTGAGGAAGTGCTCAAAAAATGATGGCGCATGTCAAAAGGAAAGAAAAGCCAGCTTGCAGACTCCCGCTGGCTAAATCTAGGACGGTTTGAACACAAATACATAATAACAGGCATCAACAAGTCCAAACTGATATTAAATAAACACAATTTTAAGTAAATAAATAAATAAATAAAGCAGGGAAAAGTCTTGCTTAGAATAGAATGCCAACCAATAAATGCATAAAAATAACACACTAAGAAAATCACCATTAAAGCTGCCATAGTTATTATCGATTCTGGTAATGATCATCAATGGATATAAAAATTGTTGGTTAAAAGGGTAACGGGGCCCTGGCCGGTTTGGATCAGCGCTTAGAGCGTCGGCCTGTGGTCCAGAGAGACGCGGGTTCGGTTCCCACTAAGGGCACGTACCTGGGTTGCAGTTTGTCCCCGGCCCTGGTTGGTGGTGTGAGTGTCCCTTTCACATTGATGTTTCTCTCTCTCTCTTCCTCTCTCTCCTTCCCACTCTATCTGAACAAAAAATGGAAAAATGTCCTCGGGTGAGGATTTAAAAAAAAAAAAAAGTGTAACAGGGACAGACTATTTACACATTCTCAAAGTATCTCCCCACAGATTAATTATTAATTTCAAAAGGAAAACTGGTAATTTTACACTGGAGAAAACTGGCAGACACTACTTGAACCAGGTTACCACCTATTCTGGGACAAACAGGCGCCTCAGCCTCCTGACATAACACACTGAGAAGAACATGATAGAAAGGCATGGCTCCAGTCTGATCACGAGGGAAATGACACAAAGGCCAACTGAAGAGCGTTCGACTCTTTAGCCATGTTGAGGTCATGAAAGGCAAGGAAAGTCAGAGAGGGTCCTTGTCTCTCAGGGTCTGGCCATGATCAGCTGCTTCCTCTTAAGGAAGAGGCTCTAGCTGTCCAAGCTGCCAATGACAAGATGTGATAAGCACTTGGAAAGGAAAAATATTTGTGGTCAAGACAACTTTTTCCTGAGGAACGCTTCATGGTTAGCGCGTGAAGGAGGGAAGTGACTGACACCTATAGTCGCCAGCCTCGGGTCAGAGCCACTCAGTGTTGTGGGCACACACACTGTCTGAAAGGCAACCAGTCCTAGACAGGACTCAATAGGATCACTGTACGGGACACGTTCTGAGTGATGAGCCATGGAAGAGGTAAGGAATTGATCCAATTTTTGAAAAGTCCTGGAGTCAATTTGGTTGAAATCCCAGCTCTGCCCGGCCTCAGCTCTGTGGTGTTGGGCAGGCTTGTCAAGCTCCCTAAGCCTGTATTTTCTCATCTGAAAAAATGAGAGTAATGGAAATGGGCAATTAAATGAGATAATTCAGTAAAGTATTTAACATAGTGCCTGGTACATAATACGTGCTCAATAAATATTTACTATCTATTAGTGTATTACAAAAGACAATTACCATTCCTCTTTGTATTCCAATCACCTAACACAGGCCTGGAAGGCATATGATGTGCATTTAATAGATGTGTCTCGAAGCATTAACAAAGAGAAAAATGCAGCAAACGAGACAGACGCTGACATTTATAGGTGAATCACTGCTAAAGACCCAGCTCAGGTCCAGCTAATGTTAAAAACAGGGAAACACTATTTGCAAATAAGGAATCAGGGTCCTGTGTGTGGTTTCATGTAAAAGATAATTACTTTGTCAATGGACGGTTGAGCTGAAGCCAAGCTTGAGGCCCTCATTCTATATATACACGGAGGAACCCCAGCTTAGAAAAGCAAGACATACTCAATTCACACTTCCATGTGAAGATCAAGCAAGTCATGTTTTACTGCTAGGTGGTAACGAGAAAATAAATGAAGGAAACTTAAGTTTAAACAAACACATACTTATAGATCATGAAAGGTTTGTAACCACGGGTCCCCGGTCACTAACCTGTAACAGTACTTCCCTTTTCGTCTCACTCAAACGTCTATGTCTGAGCTCTGAGGCAGACAAAGAATAGGAAGGGCTGAGAACATGAACTGGTATTTAGGGGAGGATGCAAAGAGGATGAAGGGTGGGGCTGGCCTCTTGCTGGAGTGTTGAGAGTGAGTGGACCTTGGTGCGAGAAGCCTGCAAAGGGTTGATGAGATGAGAAAAGTTGGCAGGAGAGAGGTGTACATTTCTGCTGCTTCCCCAGTTGGGAGCACGACCCTCAGCCTTTTCTCAGTCTCCCCCTTGCTTCCTCTTGCTCATTTCCAGGCTGCCGGTTAGGCAGGGTACCGGCTCACCGTCCACCTCAAGGCTGCCCTTTTGATCAACTTTGACTTCCTCAACGCTGTTCTACAACCGGCCGTGAGTCCTCAGTCTGGGATCTGCCTCTGCCCTCATCTTCCATCTCTCCTAATAACTGCTCCCAGTGCTCATGGTAGAGCTAGAACATGATGATGCACGGTGCTCGGTTGGGTTCCTTTTATTTTTATGCAATTCTTTTCAACCGGAAGACTGCGAGCTCTCTGAAGACTGGTACCATGTCCTGATGAACTATTGCGTATTGAGCACCGAACACAGTGTCTGGAATGTCGCAGGCTTCATGTCTTCCGTTTGGTCTTCGTTGAACCTGCCCCTACTTCTGTTTCAGTACTTTTGCCTCTCTCTTGTGGAGTCCTCTGGGATCCTCTGGGGGCTACTCTCCCTCCTTCTCTTTGCTCCCTTCTTTCCTTCCCACCTTCTTCTTTTTTCCTCCTTTCTTAAGATTCCCTCAGGGGGAAAGTTCACACCATCCACTTTATATAAACCTCACATATCTCTTCTTTCTTCCTCATGCTATATTTATGCCACATGCCAATTGTAGTCAGTTCCTCGGCCTTGGAAATGTCTTAAAGTCTCGTCCTGTTGGTGAGATTCACTTGAATTCACTATGTTCACAGCCTTCATAGTGGGAATTACTCCCTAAATTTTTTTCCTGTGTTCAGTCCCTTCTGTCATCAGAATATGTTCCTGTATAGAAGAAGCCTTTCAGGATTCCAGTCTCCTATTCAAGAACTTATAGATGTCCGCCAATTAAAAAAAATTTTTTTTTCTTTATTGATTTTTTAGAGAGGAAGGGAGAGGGAGAAAGAGAGATAAAAACATCGATGAGAAAAAATACTGGCTGGTCGCCTCCTGCATGCCCCCTACTGGGGATCGGGCCTACAACCTGGGCTTGCGCCCTGACCAGGAATCAAACCGGCGACCCCTTGGTGCATGGGTCGATGCTCAGCCACTGAGCCACACCAGCCAGGCGATGTTTGCCAATTTAATTCAACATATTCAAACTCTACCAGTAGGCTACAACATGGCTCTCCATGCCAATTCTCCTTAACAGACCGGATTATAAAAAAGAAGAGAAGTAGAATCATGCACATTGGAGGAAGAAAGATCAATTTAGGAGGTGTCGTTGCTTTGTTGTTTTAAGACAGGAAACACATGCATGTTGAAGGTTGCATGTTGAATCAACTGAGTGCAATGTTAAAGCAAGATGATAAAGAAATGAAAATGGTCATTAATGAGGAGGGACAGCTCTCTCTAAAACAGTATAAAAGGAAGGGGGAGTGTTTAGTCCTGAGACTACAGAATTCCTAGTAATGTTGGGCGCAAGGTCGCTGCCAGTAATGAGCTGAGATGGGATTGATAGCTTTAGAAGGGCTTAAGCAGTTAGGAATCTGCTCATTCACTCATTGCACAGGTACTGACCACCTACTGATGTGTGAATTAACACTCTCTAGTACTTTTCCACTTTTCTCACATGGCTTCAGCATTTGATCCCACAGACCCAACCACAGGAACGTAAGTGTATCCCCATTCGACCGGGTTCTCCTTGGGCTCATCGTTCCAGCCTGTTACTACCATCTGAATCCCAACTCTGTCGTTCAGGGCCCGTGCTTCCAACTTTGTGTCATCCTCTGAGAATCTGATAAGTACACGTTCCATACTTTTTTATTAGAAACACTTATAAAAACCTGGACATGCAGGATGCCATGTGAAATCTCTCTCCCTCTTGACGTAGACCCTTTAACAAGCTCCCTTTCGGGGATGTTCTCTGGCCGGTGCTGTATCTCTCCACCGCTTCCAATGGGAGGTCATGAAAGATCTCATCAAATACTTTCTGAAGGCCAAGTGCACCACGCGCACTTCATTTCCCTCATCAGTCTGGCGAGTGCGTGAACAATGCTGGCAAGCAGAACACAGTCCGTTTGACAGAACTTGTTTTGCGCACACCTGTGCCAAATGGTCACGATTTCTCTTTCCAAGGGCTTATAAACAATGCCCTTAACTGCCAGTGATAGATTCTTGCCTGGTATTGACAGCAAGTTCACGGCTGCACATTTTGGAACTTTTTTTTTTTCTATTTCCTTAACTCAGAATTACATACATCTGTTTCTAAGCTTCTGGCATCATTTTTCCTTAGTTCTGTAGAGGTCATTACCCTCGGTCTAGAGAAACAATTTGCAAATTTTCTCAGTATCCTTTTTTTTTTTTTTTTAAATCATATACTTCCTTCAGAGCTGCGTGAAACCTGGTGAGACTTTGGGATGTGTTATGACCCAGACTGTGGGGTGGACCCGAGCTGGTGAGAGGAGTCAGGTCATCGACTCGTCGGATGGGCTCGTATCTTGCAGCCGAGAGTGTGGTTTAAACTAGAATTACTTACAGTCCCTCTCAACCAGGAATTTCTGAAAAGTTAGCCACTGAACAATTTTTCTTCTCTCTCCCCACCCACATTGCTCACCTCTGCCACTGGTCCCTTCAGAGCAGCAGAGTGTAAATCCACTGGTGACCAGGGTGGTACTTACCCACTTGCCCAAGCCTGGGTAGTCATGTTCGGGATCATAAAGGTGCTGGTGCAACTGGAACTCTCGGCTGAACTCGGCTGTGTCGGGGGTGTTTTCTAGACAGCCGTCACCTACCGCAAACAGCAAAAGGGTTTTGAGGAATGGCCAGGGCATTTATCATGATTCCAAGAATTAATTTATTAAAGACAGTCACTAGACACCCAAAGGTCAGATTGTATTTGCATCAGCCACTGTAAATCGCTTTGCCTCTGGGATTCGTTCATCCCAAACTCTCACTGTCCCCGAACCTGTGGCTGAGACTGGTCGGCTGCCCACCAGACCCACTGCCCCGCCCCCTCTGCATGCAGTCCACTTCCCAGCCGTGCTTTGCATCAGGTGGTGCTGTATGTCTGAGTTTGGAACAGGTCACAAATGATGTACTGCACCTCCAGACCCAGCCCCTCGGAACCTCCTCTGTGAGCCCCACTCCCTGTCCCAAGCCTGCCTCGTTTGTCTGCTTGCTACACGCGGCCGATCCGGACAACTGTGGAATTTAATGAGCAAACTCAACTAACAAGCAAAATGAAGACAGATTCATAGAGAGCAGGCAGACAGCTCTGGGGTGGGGGTGGGTATCAGGGTTGGTGGTGGAAGGATTGAGCAAAAAAGAAAAAAAAGAGAAAGAACTCATGGACATGGACGGTTGCAGGGGGTGGGTGGTGGGAGGAGGTGGAAGAGGTAGGATAAGTGATGATGGAAAAAGAAAGACAAAAGGTGGCAGTCTGGCTCCTGAATCTCCCACCCACCACACTCACCCACCTCTGGCAGGACTTCACATGAGTGAGGAGCAAACAACTACTGTGTTAAGTCACTGTAATTTTTATCTGTAAGAATAGCAAGTATTTCCTTAACGAATATACTTCCCTTTCACATAACGCATTCTGTTTTCCCTTGGGTGAGCTCTTTAGCAACAATTTCAGCTCTTGGAGAACGTACATGACACAAAAACAACATCACCAGACAGTGCTTGAGGTTGTGGGTCATGGTGGTAACGGAGTCAACTTTGAACGCAGACAGACCGGGGCTCAGGGTTCAAATCCTGGCTCAAAAGTGACAGATGGGTTTAGCTGCTGGGGAAAGTTAACTTAGTCTCTCTACGTCCATTTACTCACTTATAAGGTTGGAATCATCACCCACTCTCCTTACAGGCTGCTATGAGAAATAGAGATGAGTATATACACAGCACCTGGCACATAATAGATTTGCTCTTTGTTTTCATTCCTTTCTCGCCGTTGCTCTTTAAATGACAGTTTATACTGTGACTGCTCTTTGAAATAAAGCACTGCCTTCCATTCAAACCCGAGAAAGGGTATCCCCCTTCGCTGCTGCTGTTACCCACACCCTCTTATTACTAGACACCGTGCTCTGAAAACGAGTCGTTGTTTTCTGTCTCCAATGTGCTCTAGAGAGAGTTTAAATAAGGGGACAGGCGATGGATTGTGAATTTTGTGTAGGGCCAGGGGGAAGAAAGGGTTCCTGTCACAGGGATGGTGAACCACCGACGTCAGCGGTAAAGGGGTCTAGCGCAGTCGGCCGGGTGGTCGGGTCTCCCGAGCCCGCTCTGCAGCTCCCCAGCAGCTGAGGCGCCCAGTCTCCGCTGTAGCAGCGGGAAGCCCATGTGGAAGTGGGGCGTGCTGAGCGGATGCCTGCTGTGCTCCCCACCTTCTCTGACCTGTTTATCTACGTTCCTCATCTACAGCAATTAACGTGGAGGGAAGGGAGAGCAAATCGAGAGCATTCTGGCAGTCTGCTTATGGGATCTGTACAACCTTTTCATAAGAGGCGTTTCTCAAGCACCTCTGAGGGCCCAGAGGTACACGAGGCCCTGCTCTGGGAATCTAAGTGTCTTGGGCCCGGCGATGCGCCCTGGAATTCACATCTACCCCTGAGCATGGGCTGAGTTCCGCTGCTCTGTCCAGGGTGAGGGGAGATGGGAGGGAAATCGAGGTTCTTTTCTTTAATTGCTCAACAGCGTGGTGTCGTAATTCCCAGTAAGGCAGATCTCAAGCAACTCCTTACCAAGGATGACCACATCTACAAGTGATTTCCTTTCAAGAATGCAAATTCTGGTAGAACAAAGACTGAGAAATATGTTGGCTTAATAAAATGATAATGAAGGAAATGGCAGATAAATTGTGACAAGAGAGGGTCTGGGAGTTGGGTTCTCATCCAACTCGATCAGCCCACCTCAACTGCTATGTCTCGGAGCTCCTACGTGTTTCATTACATAGATCTGTATTTTATTTTACCAGGTTAACTGACACTGTATGTTTTTTAAAGGCACTGACAACGTCTTCAATTTAACAGAGGAAGAGACCGAGGCCCTGGGAAGTAAAGCAAAGTCAAGTAAATACCGTAGTGAAGACTCGAATTCAGATCTCTTGGCTCTAACTCTGCTTCTCTTTCCATTCTCTTCTAACAGTAGTTCTCAAACCTTAGTACACACCAGGATCATGTGAAAGGCAGGTTAAAACACAGACTTCTGGGTCCTACCCCAGAGTTTCTGATTCAATAGGTCCGAAGCAAGGCCTAAAAGTTTACATTCCCAACAAGTTTCCAGATAAAGCTGGTGCTGCTGGTCTGGGAAACACACCTATAGAACCACTGCAGTACATCCAACCCACTGAACCAAATCCCCATGGGGACTGCTGGTCTTCACACTCAAACTGGGTTCTTTCCTCCTGCCTTCCAACGCCCTCCGTGCAAGTAAAATGCGGCAGAAGCAACTGGCTCTGTGCAGTGGTTTGGTTTCCCCTGCAGTCCTGGGCCAGCATCCCCACATCTGGGCCACATCCAACTACGCTGGTTGTTCCATCCAGGGACGGAGGCTCCCAGGGAAACAGAGACCTCACCCTCAATGAAAAGAGGAGCATCTTTCAGAGAACGTGTCTTCCAGACACAACCTGTACTGTATTTAAGAAGCGCCGAAGGGCCAATGCTGACACACACGTTCAGAGCAAGGCAGTTGTCATGGGGGTTGGGTGCATAGTCCTGAATCAGGGAGACCTGGGTTTGAGTCTGGACTCAGCTCCTCGCGACACAGATAACCTCAGGCATGTTACTGTCTCGGCTTCGGTTTCCACATGAGAGGTAAGGCTAGTAAGTACCAACTAGTATTACGAGGCTTGGGGGAAAAGACTGTTTTGGTGCTAAAAGTGGGCCCAAGCCCAAGGAGAGAGACGCATTACTTACTGGTGCCAAAACTAATTACAACCAGGATGCCATTTAATGAGTCCTCCCCCTGCGTTAGGTGCTCTGCCAAGTGTTTAGCATGGATCATTTCATTTAGTTCCCACAAGGACCCCCATTTTGCAAATGAAGAAACAAAAGTGCAACATGTTTCATTAACATGTTCAAGGTCACATCTTTTGCTCTTGGGTTTGAATTCAGGTAGTCTGAGTCCAGAACCACTACTTTTAACCAGCAGGTAAGCTGCTCAAAGCCCAACATAAGTGGAGCCCACTCACCATCGCTTCTGTTGGGCATTAGAAAAGAGGAACGTGGGAAGAATAGACAAGTAGCCAAGGAAAGTTTCAACTTTCTTCCTTAGCCAACTACTTATCTTACGGGACCCTCTCCCTCTCATGCCACCTCCTCGGCCCCAGGGAAACATTTCAGGATAGACGCTAACTAGTTGAGACATAGTTAAAATGTCGATTGTCAAGAGAAGTAAGGAAAACAAATGGGTTTGGCTAATCCACAAACTAAATAGCCAGTTCCAAAGAGACTAAAAATGGACAGCCGTTGTATCGTGTGTGTGTGTGTGGGGGGGGGGGGGGGGAGGCCTGCATTCTCCCTGCAGAAAAGAGATCAGTGTCTATTTCCAAAGGGGGAGACAGACAGAATGTAAAGCCTTGGCAAGGGAGACCCATGTGGGTGGATCTGAATACCAGAACTCAACAAGGAATGTGTTCTAGAATAAGTTTCCCTTTCCAATCCACTTACACTTCAAAAAAAAAAAAAAAGAGAGAGGGCTCAGTGGTACTGGAAATACTATTTCTCACAATATTTATAGCTGACATTAGAATTTTTAATTTCCTCCCAAAGCCCGTGCCATACATGGGACCCAAAGGGCACGTCCAGTACCTGTTTTTCCAACAGGACACGGATTGGGAGGGTCTGGGTAGCCCTGATCCTCACTGAAGTCCTTGGGAATGTTGTCACCGGTCAGCTCGGCCACAATGTTCGGGATATTGCCGAAAGGACCCAAGTGCTGCAGACCTTCATGAGCTCCACCTGCAGGGAATCAGAAGTAGTTCATTTCAGGGCCATCAAAAGCATTTCAATGAATATTCAGTCAAGCATGTGATAGATGCAATGCCCTGTGCTCTGTGCTGGGGGAGAGAAAACGCATCAAACAATTCCTGCCTCTAGTAAACCTTTAAAACTTTGAAAATGTAGGTGTGGAAACAGATACATCCTGTACATATATCATTTCTACACAAAGTGCATTATATACGTACTACAATAGACATGTCAACACAGCATTATGGGAGCGTAGAAAAGGGAGAGTTTCGTTTGGCTGACAGGATGGGGAGGGCTTCCTGGGCCAGTCGGAACTTGAGCAGCACTGACTCAGACGGGTAGGGCTTTGGAAGCTGGGCATAGAGCTCGTGGCAATGAGGGGAGGTGAGGGAAGAGAAAGGCGAGAACAGGCCAAATAACAATACATAACCAAAAAATCTAGGTAAAGAAAAAGTAATGCCGGCCCTGGCCGGTTTGGCTCAGCGGTTAGAGCATCAGCCTGCGGTCCTGAGAGACCTGGGTTCGGTTCCCGCTAAGGGCATGTACCTCGGTTGCAGTTTGTTCCTGGCCCTGGTTGGTCGTGTGGGTGGCAGCCACTTGATGTGTCCCTTCACGTCGATGTTTCTCTCTCTCTCTCTTCCTCTCTCTCCCTCCCGCTCTATCTGAACAAAAAATGGAAAAATGTCCTCGGGTAAGGATAAAAAAAAAAAAAAAGAAAAAGTAATGCCGCCCCAGAGTGGCTCAGATGGTCAAGTGTCGTCCTGTGCGCCAAAAGGTTGCGGGTTCGATTCCCAGTCAGGGCACATACCTAGATTGTGGGATCAATCTCTATTTGGGGCATGTACGAAAGGTAATTGATCAAGGTTTCTCTCTTACATTCTCCCCCCCACCCCCCGCCCCATCCTCGCCTCTCTAAGCATGTCCTGTGATGAGGGGTGACAAACAGAAAAAGTCACTGTCTTCCTGCCATTGTAAATCAACCATTTCAAGTTCAGTCCATTCATTTTCATCTTTTCTCCTCTGCAAATCTTTTTATACATAAATGTTTATTCATTTTTTTTACTTAATATTAAAACACAAGCGTCTTCGGCTGTGGCTGCATGATCTCTATTCCTGCCGTTGTACATGGCTATGTGGTCTTCAACTCGGCGGCTCTGTCCGCCACGGCACATTAATCCTTCCCCTGTGCGGGATGTTTAGTGTTTCCCAATTTACTCCGAGGCATTTAATTTTTTCCATCTTTTGGATTAATTTGCCTCGGGATAGATTTCCATAAGTCAAATTATGAGGTCAAAGGCTATAAATATTTTTATGGCTTTTTATATTATATTGCCAAACTGCCCTCCCAGGAAGGAGGTACCCATTTATAAAGCATTGTCAACAAAATATGAGACTATCACTTTTACAGCATCCTTATCAGTCTTGGCTTTTACAAAAATAATTTGTATGTTTTCTTTGCTCATTTAAAAGGCTTTTAGAAAAATTACTGTTTTATTTTTAATGTCTTTGATTACCAGGTCAGTCAAATCTTTCCCCATGTGCTTATTACTAGTCTTCATTTCTTTTTTGTGAGTTGTCTGTTCATGCTCTTGGAATTTTCGTATTTCTATTACAAATTTGTGTGAACGTTTTACATAATAAAGATATCAGGCCAATGTATTTCACATTTCCCATAAATATTTTCCCACGTTGTCTGACTTTGAATTCTGGGTATTATAATAATAACTTGTGAACATAAGTTTCTAACATTTGTGTAGACAGATTCATTGCTGTTATTCTCCTTTGTAACTTCTTTTCATCCTGCTGAACTTACAGCACTGTTGTCCCTTCAGAGGTACTACCAACATTTGAATATTTCTTTTAGTTTTTCTACTTTTAAAATTAATGCTTTTATCCACATGCTCTGTGTTTTCGTGCAAGTTGGTAAAATACTTAACCAACTATCCCACCAGAATTTGTTAAGTAATTCTGTCCTTCCCACTTCTTTCATTCCTCCAACAAATACTTGCATGCCCCATACACTGCAAAGCCTGCTCTGAGCACCCAGATACAGCAGTAAATACCAGCATACACTGTGTGACTTGCTTTATTTATACATACAAATGTGCATGGATTTCTGGACTCTGTCTTTTCCTGTGCCCTTAATATCCTGCACAGTACAGGAACCTTACATTTCCAGCATGAGCGCAGATCATTTCTCGGAACAAATTTCTATTTATTAACTTTATTGGGACACAGAGGCCCATGCTTCGAGCTCCCTTAATGCCCAGTCCCCCCGTGCATAGACCTATACACAAAGGACCAAATCAAAATCAAAAGGTGTGCCTGAATTAGAACCCAAATCAGGCTGTAATAACTCCACGCTTGCTCCTTCCCGAGAAGGATGGTCTCGCCAATGCCATGTTACTTAATCCCAGTAGTTGGACGAGGCTCCCTTCCCCCCTGGGTGAGCCAGAGCACTGCCCAGCTGTGCTTTCTGACACTTGCTTTTTTATTTTTATTTTTATTTTTTATTTATTTTTTTCTGGGTGAAGCAGCTCCACTTTGGATTGACACGTGTTTTTCTTCAGAAATGTTAATGTATTTAATAAAATCACGGCCAATTCTTTGTGTCCTAGAAATTGTATTGTCCCTTTGAAGTAACTTTGTGTCACTCTGTTTAATTTATTGTGTTTGATTAAAGTTCATCCTTAAAAGGATAATTTTATCTCCTTTAATTCCAAATTCCCCCAACCCCCATGTATAGACAGCACCAAGTGGTTGGGTGGTTTTGTTTATATTTACATTACATTGTATCTTATTGCTCTGTGATGCGAGAGAGTAGCCTGCAAATTTCTGCATTTAAAAAAAAGTATTATTTTTGTAAATTTTGCATATGAATATTTAAAATATGATGGATTTTATAGAGTCCATAAATGTCTAAATATAGCCAATTACTCAATTATATTCTTTTATGTCCTTATTCATATTTTATCTGTTTAAATTATCATAATCTGATGGATATATGTTAAAATCTACCAATAACTATCAATAAGTATCTACCAATCTACACATACTTACACTTACCGACCAATAAGTGTCAGTCAATCTCTTTTATTTCTTACTGTTTTCACTTGAGCATTTTGATGCTATGCTAATTAACATGGCCCAGAGTATACATTTTCATTTTGATTGTTACTAATTGGCTGTGAAGTAAAAATTAACAAGTCATATTTTGTTTCGTATTTCTTCTATTAGCACTGCGCTCTCAATCTATTGTTTTGTGTTCGGTAAATCTTCGATCGTCCTTTCCTTTTTAACCTTTCTTTATCTTCCTGACGGTTTGTCTGATTCATACTGTGGTGGCTGCCTTCAGAGATCGGTGATTCATATTCATTATCCCACATTAACCCAAGACCTGCAAAAGGTTGAACAGACAGATCAGTACACGTGGTATTGATCTGTTTGGAGCTTTGTACACTCCTGGCCACCGCTGTGCTTGCCAGAGGGCATGTGCTCTGGTGTGTCAATACACGTCTCAGCATTGAAAGCACCCCAGCCTGAAGTGCCAGGAATTACCCAACTTGGCTCAAGGGAGAATGCATGCCTTAATGCTCCATTAGTAATTAATGAAGGAATCAAACACAGTTTCCTTTATGGAAGGCCTGCCAAGGCTCTGTTTACCTCTGTGCACCAGGGCCATTAAAATGAATGCCGCACTTGTTGGAAGCAACAGATGTTTAGCACCAGGAGATACGTTATAACACAGGCTCTTTAAAAACTACACTTCATGACATCGAATCGAGAAACACGCACTGAGGTGGGAACTGTGGGAGACACGTAGCAGTAACAAATGCTATCTATCCATTACACTCCAGGCCCCTGAATGTTATAGACAAGAAAAGTAACTATGTAAAAAACATAATTTAATAATTATAATGAATTGATAAGTTCATTATCGATTATATATCAGAAAATGATATAGTTGAGTATACAACCAAATGTTAGTTAGCTGATTCATTATACTGTTTAGGTTTTCTATCTATTACAGTGGAAACCAAGTCAACCAAAATGTCATGATGCTATTAATGGTGTTTGGTCCATTTGTCCCTCTCTCAACCAAATACATATAATTAAATCATTAATTTTTCTGTTAGACTAAATATGTATTGAGCATATATCAGGACCTGGACAATGTGTTAGAGGGTCAATGATGAACCAGATAAATGTGGGCCCTGCTCTGATAGTATTTAGTCTATAGGGGATACACAAAGAAAGAAACACTTAAAATGCAGAGTTGTGATGCACTTATAATGTAACTGGGATACAGCAAGATGTCACAGGTGTGTGGAGGAGAAACACCTAACCCAGATCTAAGACTGGAGGACTTCCTGTAAGAAGCAACACATTGATGATTATAGAAGATATAAATGTGAAAGACCTGGTTCCTGCTCTCTAGTTAGTTCTTCATTCTCATTGGTTATTTAAGGCTAATAAAATAAGCCAATGTCGTGGCCCTGGTTGGTTTGGCTCATCAGTTAGGCCGCCTGAGCACTGAAGGGTCGCACATTTGATTCTAGGTCAAGGGTACATGCCTGGGTTGCAAGGTCCCATCCCTGGCCCCAGTCTGAGCATGTGCAGGAGGCAACCAACTGATGTGTCTTTCTCACATCAATGTCTCTCTCTCTCTCTCTCTCTCTCCCCCCCTCTCCCTCCCTTCCACTCTCTCTACAAATCAATGGGAAAAAAATATATCCTTGGGTGAGGATTCAATAAATAATAAGAAGCCAATGGTATGTGATAAGACATATTCTCTGATAAAATTCATTTTGGTACAGATTATAAATGATGTAGACATTCAGGAAACAAGGAACCTGCCAGGGCAACTTCCATGGAAGAGGTGACACGTGAGTTGAATCACGAAAGACAGAACCCATGCTTACAGGTGGCAAAGGAAAAGGGCACAGAGGTGGGTGCGAGCACGGACTGTCTGAACATCAGTGCTGAGCACG